TGACGGCTGAGTGACGATCGACAGAGGAGGTCGACGAGGAAGACGGCTGAGGAAGACGAGCTGAGGGGATGAGGAGATCGACTGAGGAAGACGGCTGAGGAGATCGACTGAGGAAGATCGACTGAGGAAGACGGCTAAGGCAGATCCACCCAGGTAAGCTTCGAACCCTAGAGTGTTGTTGGTGAAAAGGTCTACCAACGAGGGTGAGCCGAAACCCTATAGGTTCAGCTCTGATACCATGAAGCTTGAATAATCAGCTTAGGGTATGATGAGATATCACCCCTTATTTATAAATGAAGATTAGGGTTTACAAACAAGACAATTACAAGATGATCCCTGAGGGCATAACAATGATTACAGACCATAGTGCCTTTCGGCTAATAAAATACTAAGTGACTTTCGGTGATTATAATATGCCAACAGAAATTCTAATGTCCCAACTAGGGGGTACGGTGGCGATGGAGGCCGCAGCTACAACCACACCGAAGAAGAAACCAAGAAATGGGCTCATCGACGCCATTGGCAACACTCCTTTGATCAGAATCATGATGAGATGGCTCAAGGTGGAGTAGTTACAGAGGGGAGTGCTGGGAGCACAGCTATCAGTCGTGCAACTGTGGCTCCGGCCTATGGATGCAAATGCCGTGTGGTTATCCCAGATGACGTTGCTATTGAGAAATCTCAAATACTTGAAGCCCTTGGAGCTACTGTTGAAAGGGTTAGGCCAGTGTCAATTACACACAGAGACCACTACGTCAATGTTGCAAGGAGAAGGGCATTGGAAGCAGATGCCAAAGATGTTGAGCAAATTAATGGTTACACATCCGAAGGAGAGAGGATTTGGGCAATGATGAGAAGGTATGTGTAGCATGGGAAGGTATGTGTAGAAAATAAGCGGACTAGGTTGAGGTCCGGCAGGCGGCCAAGGCGAGGTTGCGGCCCGCCGGTGAAGCGAAAAAATACTAAGTTCTTAACCTTGCTCTGATACCACTTGTTGAGATCTGGGATCCCGCCCAAGACCTTATAGAAATTATTGCATGCAGAAAAACAAACCCACACTCAAGGAGACACAATAGTTAACGTGGTTCGGCCTCAATGCCTACATCCACGGGAGAGTAGCCGGTTATCACTATAACAATGGAGATATTACAGAAAGATTACAATAGAGGAGGAGCTCACACTCTCCTCACTCACCCACTCACCCGTCTCCCTCGCTCACACCGAGGGAGACGGTCTCTCCGCCTCACATATCTCACTCTTTGTGGCTTGCTCTGCTCTCTCTCACTGTTCTCCTCTCACTCATCTTCATTTATACACTTCAGAATGGTGGATGGAGGGGCTGGCCAGCACATGGCCAGCTTGTGCCAACTCCTTCTTCACATGGCTAAAGGTTCTTCTTGCGTTGGCTTCCTAACATGGCCAGCTCATGTGTGTTGGCTTTGCATATTGCCAACTCTTGCAGCACATGGAGAATCACCCCTCACATGGGGTGATGATATCCCACAAATCACCTCCTCAACCCATGTGAGGTGATCCACAACACACATTGCTGCTAATCTTGTCACGCCCAAATTCAACACAGTTTGCATCTACTCACTGAGACGCTGCATCCCTTGAAAGCTAGAGATAATACACCAGAGATACAAGAGGAGGACGAAATCCTACATCCTCAACTCAACTCACACCACTCTCTGATTTGGAGAGAACCGCTGCTCCTATCTCCTACAGATCTCTTCCACGCTTCCTGTCTCGGATGTTTTCAGCATAGTCTGCATCTCCTCACTGAGATGCTTGCACCCCCTGA